ACCTCAATATTGGTTGGTTATCGTATGCCGACAACCACGGGATGAAAACGAAACGAAATCGATTTTCCCGCTCAACCTGGAGGACAATTGTACAATTCAATAACTATACAGCCTAGTTCAGACAATGTGTATTTATATATATATCAAATATTTAACTGTTGAAACATTTTTAACTTGTAGACAATCTACGATTTGATATTATATCATACTTGATCGTGCCTGTAAAAATGGCATGCATTTTCATGTAAATTTATATGTTTATATGAGAATATATATTATTATTATTATTAATACTTCATCAACAATAACTTAGAAGTAACAGTTGGCTCAGCAAGAGACACAATCGCGCCCTTAAAATAATAATAATAATATATATTCTCATTTTTTACATGAGGGACGCCAGTTTACAGGCATCATCAATTCGATAATTTACACATAATATTAATAAGCATATTTAGTAAAGATAATATAAGAAGGTACATTTTTTTCCCTAGCAATTTAGGGTACACCAATTGTATAGGCTTGCATAAATATTGTTTTAATAATAATAATATATTCCTTCCTGTTTACGCAGGAACATACCAATTGTACAGTCATGGATAAGTTATTATATAAATTACACAATTTGATGTATGATGAATTTACAGTTTTGTTGTTCTCTCTGACATGAGAGTCAGTCGGAACAGTCTGCTATAAAGTCTGTGTAGCACATAAAGAGATATAGAAATATTGTCTTCGCATTAAAAAATACCCAGACTTCAGATGAATGTAATACGGATATCTGGGAAAAAAAGCTTGAAGTCAATTCTCTTGTATAACTTTGTTATGAGCAACACCCTTGGCTTAAAGATTATTGATGTATTATGTTGAGACCAGTGATATATTTATTCCATTTTTCGGCAGTCTTATCGCAGTTTCATAACAGGAAAGAAATTTGATCGTGGATGCGAAAACTAGATAAGGTCATGTTAAGTTGTTTTACTGCATCAAATGGTGCCGAGGTCGATTCCAGAATTCTCCATTTGCGCCATTTGTGTCTGCATGGCGGACTGTACTCGGGGTGAGGATATAGGCCGACACCAGGTGTTATCGCGCAATGCCATCGGTTACCGCGCTCACGTCAACAGACGTTATAATCACCTATTTTTTTGGAAATAGATTATATTTGACTAGTTTTAGACTTATGTAGCCGGATGGCAGTATTTTGCTGTATTTTGTTCTTAGTAGAGCGTAAAATTGTATATTATAGCTCGGACGAATTATCAATGAAGAAGTCATCCTTTTTAAGAAAGTTCGCATAGAAAGACTATTATTTGCATTATAGTTCGTTGAGGGTTTGTTTTTTTGCGAGTTGTTTCAGATCTTAAGGTTGTAAATATACTGCAGTCAATGGCTGTTGTCATTCCAGTGAATCTATTAGAATCTGGCCTATGAAAGATAAATAGCATGCAGGCATAGGTTAGATGTGTGCTTTGAACATGTTAAACTTTTCTGTTATCATCCGGGATGACTGAAATATTCCATAACACATTGACGACATTATGCGATGAATGAGACAGGCTGCTGAATTTCCTGGTTATTATATCTATTTTGATGAAGTTCCTAGTTAAAAGTGCTTGGGCGAAGATGTGAAAATAGTTTAATTGACATTTGCACATGGAATTTCACAAGGCCTTAATTGCTCAGTGCATGAAATGGCATCAGAGTATATTGACATCAGTGTTCATTGTGTCTGGAAGAATAGTATAAATAGTCCTTCTCAAATGTCAGAGTACTTAAAATTAGTACCAGATTTCTGTCGATTAGTAGCTGGCGGCTGTGTCGTACAACTACTACACCTGTTACATAGGTTATATCAATCTTAAAAATTATTTTGCTTCACATCACTAAGATATTGTGAGATCCTTAATGACTTAATTGTGGCTATGAAAGATGTAGAAGATGCACTTATGGCTCATATATTTAACGCAGTTATTATTAGACAAGTTATCTGTAAGCAACTTGTGATGTTCTGAATACTGCAAACTGTTGATAAGAAACTGCATTAAAGGAAAAAATGCTGAACAGCTAGAAAATACTACTGCAGTTTCGTTGGTTGTTACCTTTAGCATTTGTAACTCATTATTCCAAAGCTGCGATTGACGCCAAACCATCCATGGTACCCCACAGGCCCTATAGAAATTTGTGAGACATCTTACATGTCAGGTTGTCTTCCATATTATAAGGTTGCAGATCTTTCAATTTACCTCTCACTGAAGTATCACTTATCTACTTCACTATGGTCTTTTCATTTGTGCACTATTACACTGCATTTTATGTTAACTGGATATGCCTTTATGCTTACAGTCTATTTGCTTTTATTAGAAACACAACAACAGCAGTGTTGGAACAAAGCTGTATTTTCATAGAAAACATCATATTTTCTATCCTTACACCAATATGGTTGGCATTAAACATTGCAAATGTATACTCACATTCCAACGACATAGCACTTAGCCAAATGTACGGTGTTCATTGTTAAGGGTTTACAATTTAACTCTTATAATTTATGATACTTCACGATTGCAGTTTATAACATAACTTATTGCGCCTGTAGAAATGACATGCATTCATTGTAAACATTGGTTTAAACGAAATTTGAAATTATTACTATATGCTTGCTGCTATCCTTTAGAAGAGGAATAATGTGTGTGGCAGTGAAAACCCCAGAATAATGATGTCATTACCAAAGAATGAGAAAGGAGAATAAACCATTTTCAGCAAAGGTAGGCAGATATAAATCGTTTACCTTTAATATTACTTCTTCCTTACTTCAGCTATTTAAAAAACACTTTGTTTACTTATTTGTAGATATCTGGTAACGTCAATCACCCCAGTCACAGAGATTCGACATTGCACAAATTATTCCGACAATCGACTGCGTAAACACATTTGCTTGTTATTATTTTTTCATTAAATACATTTAATATCCTGCTTACCAGACCTTTCTTATTATATCTGAGTTTAGATGTATTTGTCATGATGACTAGGTGCAGACATGACTTATTAATAAGAACTGACGAAGTAATTGGTGGCATATTTTAGTGTAAGCTAAATCTAAATACGATTGTTAAAGCTCAACGAATTCAATAATTCGTCTGGTGTAGACTTGAATTTACGCTACATGTCAACAGCCTTAGTCATATGGATTGACATCACGCTTTAAGTGAAACATTAGTAATGCAATACTTTCGAATACACGTAACCGTATAAGAACTGGGACTCGAATGCAGTGCCTAAGGTATGCCTACTATTGTCCCTAAAGACTTGTATATGACTATGATACTTATGCACGTTAGCTAACTGAAATACTTATAATTTAACACGTATGCTGACCGACATCGTTCCTACACAATTACACTTACGTATTGTTAGTAGTGAAAGTCCTAGAGAGCACCGGTCTAGCATGCCGTGCTCACAAAGTGAACACATGAATTGAAAGACAACAAAATTTACATGAAAATTTTATTTTCATTATGACAAAAATTTAGTTTATTTACATATTAAGAACACGATTGATTCCTGCGATTACTCCGTCTGCATAAGCATTGGCAAACACTTCTCCAAATTTGTCATTAATTCTGTCCATACCCGCATTGATAATCTTCTTTTTGGTATCGTATATGTTACTTCGATTTCGAGGGATAACTGCTGACGTACTTTGAGATGCGAACAAGTTGCGTGACCACGTCCATTGTTTACAATTATGCATCACATGGTTAACTACAAAAGGTGGAACAAAAAAAGTTAAGATAACTATGAACTGATTATTACATTACATTATACATTAAAAACGTAGTCATAAAAACGCAAATATACCTGTGAAATACGGCTTTCTGAAGTGGACCAAAAGCAAGTGTCGGCAGGGGTACCGACAGGTCTGAAATGTAAAGCACGTGCAGGTGCAAGCACTCAGATCAACCTGCACTGTATTCCCATTTTCTTTGAAAAATACATAATCAAAGGATTCGAACTCAACAGTAGCCCATCGTCGCAATTGGTATTCACGTATTACCTTCCTCGCGGCGTATGGTGTAAGCAACCGTATAATTGGGATTAAACTTTGTGAACAGGGATACGTGAAGCATCGTGATTGAGCAATATTCGCCTCCTGCTGTATTATTGAAAAACTTCGTTTATGCCATTTATACACCTTTAGCATACTTTTATGCAGACTATCAGATCTTTGCAAAAACCGTTTCATCTGCTTGTGGGAACTCTCGACACGATTATTTGTATCGTTCCCAAAAGTCAGCACGTTATCTCTGAAACAGGCCGCCCACAATTCTCGTCGATGCATCCAACGACGTTGTAGGTATTGACTGACATTAGCATCCAATCTGCTAATAACTCTGAAGTAGAAATTAAATCTGCAAAATGAGAACAATAGAGGCATTACTCTGATCTCCTTTTACACTGCACTAGACGGCATAAGTAGTTCTTCACAATGGGATTTCTTGTCTACGAATAAAATGTAAAGTATGCTTTGAAAAACTTACTTTCCGACAGAAAGCTCGGCAAACATGGAAAGAACACAAAACAATGTGCGCTTGTCTGTGCGTTAACTTGACGGCTGCTATTTCAGCTTGCGCACAATCCATAATGAAGGATTCTGTTTTCGAGGTGTCTTCCATTATTTGCCGGAAACAGTCTAATATCCAAACTACATCTCGTTTGAATTCTTTTCTAGTCCACGCAAATAAAACTGGTCGTCCACGACCAAAATTATCCGTCACAAGTAGCTGGAACAAAGAATACCTGCACGTTGACTAATGAATTGGTAAACTTACTTCCCCTTATTCGTATTATACGTCGAGTCGATACCAACAACTTCAGGGAACTGTTTATACAATTCCATTTGCTCATAAGTTGCAAAACAAATTCTTGTTAGTGAATTCCTGATCGGTTCATCGGAATAATACTCCATTAACTTCCCACGGGATTTTAGGAATTCAAAAATGTCACGACGACTCGAAATACCTTAAGTATGTAACAAGTACGTCAACGTTACCTTTATTCACTGCGGCTTTCATATTTTTAACGTCAATGCGAGTTATATCCTTGTTGTACTTCTCCTTAACATGCATTATTATTTCATCGGATGAGTGGGATTGCTGAAGAAGTGGTTCAATATTTTCTTTCTCTTCAACTGTTAGTCGTCTATACCATGGGTCATTCTGCATGTACACCCTGCTGCATGGATGGTTATGCACCATATTGTGGGAAGCAATTATGTATTCACTATAATGCAAAACCACGCGAAATGAAGACGAGCAATTGCAACATTTAGACCTGCAATATTCATGAAATCATATTACACTTCTTCTTACGACTTGTTTTTCAATTTCAATCCAGGTCTTGTACGATTCACTCCAAAAGTGCATTTAAAACCAACATAAGCGTACTTAAACCTGGCATCCGGTATCGTTTTGCTGCAATTATGAACATAGTGAGTGTAGGATAACTACACTGTTAGCATTAAATGACTTCCTCACTTTTTGAAATTCTGCTAATGACTTCTCAAATTCATCCCAGCTGAAGAAACGCTTTCCAAGTATGTATTCAGCAAAAATTCCACTTAAATCTGTGCTCCTGTCACTCGAATTGACTACCTGCAACGGACTAAAATAAAGTTATCAATTAGGATCCATCTATGTCACAACTATTCCAACATAAATCGTAAAAAAACAACATTGAAATACAGGGATGATCGATAACCATCAAGAAAATACCGCACGTATAACCTAAATTACAGAAAAACACAAGAACCCACCGGTTCGTTGACATCGCAAGCAACCAATAGACCAAACAACGAATTGTACGACAAATAATGCCTAGTACATGCACAAACAAAGAAAAACAAAGCGTTACAATAGTTTAATACACGTTTACAGTAATCACATATGCTGGCAAACGACGCAAACACAACCGCGCAAATACAGCACCCGACAGCACGCACCCAAGGACAATTCAAACTCCAATTGACCGCCACCATTCTAGCCAATGAAAGACGAAAAAAAATTAGTCGCGGAAAATATAACACGAGACCACGTATATACCCACCCCTGTACTCGTAAGTTGGGTAAGACGTTGAAAAACTATTTGAGGACCAGTTGCTTCTTCATTTCAGATCATGAATACTCATTAACAGCATGTTCGCCAGCGTCTTCAAATGGTAGAATTGGATCGTTCCTGGAATTTGATTGATTTTGATTCAGCAACCGGTGAATTTTATATTCTTTTCGATCTGGTATCAGAATAACCGCGGACCATTCCATTAAATATGTCGAATAAGGCATGCAGGAGTAGATCATTACCATCGAATGAATCAACTTGATCTGAGATGCAGCTTTCGGCATGTTTTCGTTATATCATAGATATCCAGGTTTATTGGCGCTGTATAGGCAGTGATTTGGATTAAGACGTATTCTGCAGAGTCTCCGTGCCCATTTGAAGTATACATATGCTTTGAAAGGATTACTTTATTGGCTCCTACCCCCACTGAGTGTTAACAACAGCTGCTGTGGATTTATGTATTTCCTCACCATTTTGGATAATTCATCGCCGCATTATTTTGGGAGAGGAGACCAGTTGGTGGATTATGAATGATGTTCAAGTAACTTTTATCTTTTCATGTGGTGTTGCGGTAAGTTTCTACCTTGTTTTCTCATATTTCATTCGTATGTTGGTTATGGTTCACCCTTTGTATCAGGTAGACATAGTTTGATCGACTCTTGATTGAATGGGTGTTATTGTCATGACTGCTTCTTTTTTGTCTGGAATTATAAATGGAGGCAAAACAAACAACAGGTGTAGTCTCTGAGTTCATACATTAAATGGGCCTATGATTTCTGAAACTCTTACATGGGAATTACCACTGGTATCAATTACAAACTCACTTAGTGTGTCATTAAGTGCCTTTTCAAAGGAGGCCAATGTGCTTGCTAGTCGTATTTTCTCAGGTAGTTTGTTCCATATTTGGGCATACCTAACCAAGAAAAACTTTTGCCTGGTGGCTGTTTTACACGGTTCTATAGCCACTGTACCTTTAGTGTGTCTAAGGTTGTATCCTGTGTTACCTGAGAACCGAGTATAGTTGGCAGGGGTATACACTATTTGGTTAAGAAGCTTATAGAAGAGTATCAGATTTAATCGCAGTCGCCTTAACCATAATGTTTCTAGTCCCAGGATTTCACATCTGGTAGAGTAGTTTGTGCCGTTATCGGTTCCGAGTATTTTTCGCGTGAAGTACCTCTGTACTCCTTCTACTTTCAGTTTGTCTTCTATGCGTGTACTACTAAATATGAATGAGCAGTAATCTAGGAGTGGGCGCACACAAACCTTGTACAGTAGTATTCTGGATTCGTTTCTGTAGAAGTTCCTGAGTAGGAAACCAATAAGCCTTCGTGATTTCGACACTTGATTCGAGATATGCTCTGAAAATGATAGATTGTGTGAATATTTCAGTCCTAGGTCTAGTACAGATTTGAGTCTGGGGATTTTGTGGCCCTGAATTGCTAGGTTGAGGTCAAGGTTGGAACAGCCTATGCAGAGCCATCCACACTTTTCAGCATTAAACTCTAGTCTCCAGGTGTCACACCATCTATCCATTTTTGCTAATTCTTCATGTATTGAGTTCATAGTTGGGCCGATATCTGTATTTGTGCAGGTATATGTCACCTTCAAGTCATCTGCATACAGTATTGGCTTGCCTATACTAAAACATTCACATATACTGTTTATGTATATAATGAAAAGAAGGGGTCCCAATACACTCCCCTGGATGACACCACTGCTGATTGGTCTAGGTCTGGAGGTCATTGAGCCAACTTTAGTTGTCTGATTCCTGTCATAGAGAAATGATTTTATCCAATTGTAGAGGGGGTTGCGTATCCCTAGTGAGCATAGCCTACCGACTAGCAGATTGTGTGGGACTCTGTCGAAGGCTTTCCTTATATCGAAATAGAGGATTATTACTAGCTCTCTCCTATCTCTTCTATAGGTGACTTCGTTGAAAAAGTCTATATGGCAAGTGACGCAAGATCTTTTCTTGAGGAATCCGTGTTGAGACAGGTTGATGAGTTTATGTTTTAGAAAGTAGTCTGACATTTGGTCCTTGATTACTTTCTCCATGATCCTTGATATGACTGGTGTTATATTGATAGGCCTATAATTACATGCACTAGTTTTGGCCCCTCCTTTATGCTTAGGTAATATATATGTGTTTTTCCAAGTTTCAGGGTAGGTTTCAGTCACTAGTGAGATATTAAATATTCTAAGTAATAATACTATCATATCCGTACCACCGTTTTTGTATATGACGGATGGTATATCGTCTATCCCACAACTACTGTTAGCTTTTAATGTCCTTACCGCCGATGCTATATTTTGTATATTAAAGTTTATTTCACCTAACTTGTAGTTATTTTTGCAGGTTATGTCGAGAATTGGGGACGGATGTGCTTTGGTGTTGTTGGAGAACCACTCACTCAGGAGTTCACTAATGATCTGGGGATCATCGTAAATTATACCTTCGTGTTCTAAATGACTGATATTGTTTTCTTCACCCTTCTTCAGCCGTTTTTGCAGGATTTTGCAGAGTTCCTGGGTTTTAGAGGTGCCCTCTAGGGCTTTATTTTCCTCGACTTGTGCTTTCATTTTATGTCTCTCATCTAAATTTTTAAATATTTCGTGTATCAGGTGTAATGCATTAAATTCTTTGTATAAATAAAATCTCCTTTTTAGTTTCCTTAGTTTTATTCGCGTTTTGCGATCTATGAACAGAGTTGGTGTCTTTAGGGCAGATTTCAGGGGTGCGATTGTGTCTCTTACCGAACTGATTGTCTTGTAGAAGGTATTTAGTATTACTTCTAAGTTATTATTGGTGAAGTATTCACCCCAGTCTGAGCTTCTCAAGAGCGTTGGTAGGAATTCCCAGTCGGCATTTCGATAGTCCCTATATTGATAGTAAACCGGGGAACTCTTAGGTGTGTGTTCAGTTGTTAGTTGTAAGGGTAGGGTGCAGTACAGTATGTTGTGGTCACTGTTGTCGAGTTTATCCCTCACCTCTATCGAGATCGGCTCTATTTTGTGGCAGAGGATTAAGTCGAGAATATTGTTGTGTCGTGTTGGGAGGCGTACGCACTGCTTCCATCCTCCTACATCTATGGCTTCTAGGATCACCTCGTAGGTTCTCGGTCCAGTGCAGGTATCCCAGTTCACTCCAGGGAGGTTGAAATCGCCACAAACTAGTTTGTAGTCGAATTCCAGCTTAGGTACAACCTCTAGTATTTCTCCAATAACCGTATCAGTCGTTATAGGGCTGTTAGGGGCTCTGTATATACATCCCACAAGAATGTTATTTTCATTCGTGTGGATGCTTATCCACTTGGATTCTGGGAGTTTGTCGATAGTTAGGTTTGTAAAGGTATTGGAGTTAGTGGATTTAGAGGCATATATTAGACAGCCGCCTCCTCTCTTGTCTACTCTGTCATTCCTGTGGATGTTATAGTTATCAATTATCAGCTTTGTGTCAGGTATATCAGTAGTAAGCCAAGTTTCAGTTACCAGAATCAGTGTAGGCCGCTCCATGTATACCAAGCTGCGAAGGGAAGTTATTTTGTTAAGGAGAGATCGAGCATTTAAAAGCATAATTTTCAGAAAACCAGGGTTGTTGGGATAGTTAGTAGGTTTTCTTGTTACTATCCCTAACTCCTGGTTGCCTATGTTATGTTCGGAGGGATCCTCATATGAGACATTGTCAGCGTGTTTACTATTCCCTGGACAAATTGTGCTGCGAGGGGGGCTATTGTTTGCTGCAACCGAAAATAATCCTGTTGCATATAATCGTTTCTGGTCTCATTACGTGGGTATCTAGGATCATTTCTCTGCATAAAATAGTCTGTTTCACTGTTCACATTGTAATTTACAGGGCCATAGTAACCTGTTTTTAGGTTATTTTGAGGATAGTGCGTGCTAGGTCTTACGTAGTTGTACATTTGCTGACTCATCTCGTGAGTGTACCTAGAAGGACCAGGGGCCAATCTATACCCGTTATGCCGAGGGTTCGAGTATAAATTTCCGTTGATATGGTACCTAGTGGTGTCCCGTCTAGTAGCCCATGTGTTTTCATTATTGATTATGGGTCCCGTCCTCAGGTTATATGTGCCTACAGGCATTTTAAAACCTCGGCTATTGCGGAAATCGTGGGTATCACTCTGCTGTTTGATCAGCTCGGTGCCCCTTGCATATCTGCTGGTGTGTGATTTTGTGTGGGTAGAGCCATTTTTGCCGTTAGTTCTCACCTTGTGCAGTCTGTCGTCCTCAATTCGTTTACTACTTTTAGTTCGATGAGGAGCTCTTCCATTCACGTCTTCCGTCTCCTTTATGGGACCTGCCGCTATGCGTGCATAGTTATTTTTTAGGCTTATATGCTGCTTGTTGGGCTTGTCACAAGGGAGGTATATGGACGCATGAGGAGAAACCTTGGTTTTAGGGGACTTCTTTACTGCTTTTACAGTGGGATTATCTTGTTTGGCCCTGGGTGCAGTGTGATCTGCCGATATTTGCAGGTTATCGGTAGTAGGAGCATCTACATCTACTTCATGGGTGTGGTCATTAGATTTACTAGGAGTGTTCTCATGAACTTCGAGACCAATTACAGCGTTACTGCTCCTTTTAGGTTTCCCTTTGCCTTCTTGTGTCGTTTGTTCACCTACTACTGTGCAAGTGTCACTTTGTGCTATAGTGTTCTTTGACACTTCGATGCTGACGCTATTCACGATTTG